GTTGGGAACCAAGCTGACCCTAGATCTGCAGGCAGAGTCAGGGCGACTTGGGGGACGAGAAGAAGGGGTCACCTGAAGGGCAGGTAGCCTGGAAGCTGAAGCCCAGGAGGGGAATTAGTGAAGGGAGGTGACGAGTGGGGAAGGTCTCCCTAGCTGCCACAGAGGAAGAGGAGGAAGAAGCCCAGAGCTCATCTGCTTTGCGCCACAGGTAAGGATCCCATCTAGGGCACGCTTGTCCTTTGCCAGGGAGGGGAGCTCCCTCAGTCTCTAGGGCAGAAGGGCTTCTGGACTCCCGCACTCTCTCTCTTCCCTTCCTTCTGGAAGAGGGGCGTCTGCCTTTGCACCCATCATCCCCTGCCCTGTGTGGAAAGAGAGGGCTGCTCCCAACAGACCCTCAGGGGCTCCTGTGGGCTTCGCGTTTTCCAGGGGAGCCTTTCATAACATGCCTAGCGTGAGACTCCCCAGTTTTTGTCCAGACAGACCTACGACCCACACTTTAGCAAGGGCCTGAATCAGCCCTTTAGAAAAGAATAAAAAACCAGCGTAAAACAGTGTCAGGAAACAGCCCCTGCATTGATCCAGGAGAATGAAAGCAATATAAGGTGGGGAAGAGGCATTAGGGTGGCGGGGTTTCTATCCCGTACAGAAACTGTCTGGAGTCATGACTGGGGATGTGGGGAGCAGTCACAGTGCTAATGTCAGGCAGCAAAATGTGTCCCCCAAAACACGTTGCCCAAGAAAAGAGGGTCCTCATACAAAGGCTTGAATTAATCCTACGGAATTATTCCCCCCTCCCAAAATTCAGCTACCTGTTTTTAAGCTGGTTAGTTGTAGAGTAACTCGCTTTGTAAGTTGTGTGTTTGTGCAACTCGCTTCATCGTGTGCTGTGGGTTACAATTAGTACAGGTGAAAGGTGCTTCTGCCATCAACACAGCTCTTCGCAGCTCTTCATAAACAGCTTGCTCCCTGTTGGGTTCTACGGGGTTCCTGCATGCAGTTTGCTCCGAGCAATATTTGAAATGCCCCCACCCCAAAAGAACAGAATGTGGAAGGTTGTTTTCTGCTTTTACTGAGAAAGGATTCCCCCCCACGCCCCAGATGTGCCTGAAATGTCCATTGCCCCTCCACCCTCTTTCAGGATTTCATGGAGCGGTAGAAGTTGGATCTCATGGTCAGCCTTGGGATAAACCTCTGAAGTTTAGGTTAGTTGGGATCCCTAAACTACTCCTGGGGTCATCTTTCTCTCACCAGGCCCCTCTCCCTTCGCGTTGGACTGCACCTTCCATCCTCCCCAGCCTTCAGAGGGATCCTATGCGGGGGGGAAGGGGTCCCCAAGTGAAGGAGGAAGAAGACAAGAGCCACGGACGAAGGGAGAGAGAAGGGCGAGGAGGAGAAGAAGACGAGAGGCAAGAGGGGCTCTTACTGTAATAATCTCTCCACCACGGCTTTCTGGTGAGCAGCTTCTTCTGGGCTCAGGTTTTCCAGTTCCTTCATGATTGGAGGAGTGAAATCTTCCCCCTCATCCGAGGTCTCTTCCTCCGACATCCTGGGCTCCCCCATTCCATTGGGAAGATGCGGGATCTCGCCGCAAGGCTCCCCCTTCTCCACTTGGAGGGCCGCCCCGAGCTGCTGGCTCTCCCTGTGGTGGCGCAGTTCGGACTCCGCCAGAGCCTTGATCAGGGTCTCCTTGCTAAGCCCCGATTCCAGCAGGGCTCCCAGCAGTTCCACCTGAAGATGCGTCAGTTTGGAGACCATGGTCCCGACGGCCTTCCTCGCCTGGAACCTGCGCGTCCACCGAACCTTTTGCCCCCGAGCTGCTTTTGGGGGGGCTACATCATGCTTCCGAAGCCGGCCGTCCAGCTGTCAGTGGAGTAGAAATGGCCGCAGGTCTTCTTCTGGTGCACCCCCAGTCCCAATTTCCCCGAGACAAAAAAGGAAAAAAAAAAAAGGAAAGGAAAAGCTGCCTCAGTGCCCCCACCACTGTCCCGAGCCAGTCCTGATAAAGGGACCCTCGCCTCTCTGTTTACATTGGAGCAATGCAAATTCTCCAAGGTTCATATTTATCTGTGTGCTTAGGCAAGTAGCTGAACTTTGGACTTCGGCATTGCGACAGCAGTTCACAAAGTGCGTTAGGAGGGAGGGAGGGAGGGAGGGAGAGCGAAAATGGGGGAGAGGAAGAGAGAGGAGGAAGGCTTATGGAGAGAGAGAAGGGCCAGGGACGGACAAGGACCCCACAGCCTCTGGCATTTGTGGGGGAGAAGAGGTTCCAATCGAGGCGAGAGCTTGAGGGACCTCACCGAAGAAGCTCCATGGGAGATTGGGATCTCAGATGGGCCCTCCAACCTCCTTCTCCCTCTCCTCTAGGCTAACGGAGGGCCACCTCCAGCCTGGATGGCCCCGTTGCAGGACAGGCATTGAGGGGGAGTATGTCCCGTACTCTGCTGCCTGCTCGCTGTGACTTTCTAGGTGTCCTGGGCATGGGACCTTCTCCCTTGAACTGAAGGCTGCTTCACAGACCTCACTGGTCTGTTTCCTTCTTTGGCAACCAGACTCCAATCGGAACATCCCTCTTTCCTCTTGTAGGAAAGGGAAAGGAACAACTTTATCCCCAAGCATGAGGGATGGTGGTGAAACAGAACCTTGGATCGTGGTTCGTTCCAGTTCTGTCGTGGGCCATAGAAAAATCACGTTCTCTCCATTCCAGGTCTGTGAAAAATGGACAGAGGGTGGAGCTACTTTCCCCCCCCCTCACAAAACACGGCAAATGGAATTGCACAATTGTGCTCTTACTGTCCTCAAAAACAACCTAGAGATATAACAACAACAACAACAAACACATTACATAGACCTAAGGCACCTTGAAAGCTAGTAAGAAGATAGGTTTGATTTGTTTTAGTTCAAAATATTGGTTTTCCTGGTTGATCATTAACTTGTGAACTAATATTATTGGCTGGAATTTCACAATAATTGTGTTTTTCTTTTGATCTAGTTTCCCTTACTAAGGATCTATACAATAGCTTTGTAAAGGTTCAGAATGAATGCTACAATTACTATTGTTAATCAATGAATTGTGCAACAATCAGTTGCTAGAGGCATTTGGCTTTAATCTGCAGTGGTTAAAGTGATATTTTACTGATAAGCCTCCCTCCACCCACTAAAAAAGAAAACAATAAAAGTTATTTTATTTACAAGATAGTCCTTGACTTATGTCCCTAACAGAGGCTGAAGAATAACACGAGTTGGGATCTTGGAGGTCATCTAGTCCAACCCCCTGCTCAAGCAGGAGACCCTACACCATTTCAGACAAGTGGCTGTCCAGTCTCTTCCTGAGTGATGGAGCTTCTGAAGGCAGGTCATTCCGCCGATTAATCATTCTCAGTGTCAGGAAATTTCTGCTGTGTTCTAGGTTGCTTCTTTCCTTAGTTGCTTCTTGTCTTGCCTTCTTGTGCTTTGGAAAATAAGTTGACCTCCTCTTCTTTCTGGTAGCCCCTCAAATATTGGAACACTGCTATCAGTCCTTGTAATTCATAATGGTTATAAAGCAGGTCAACATAGGATTGGGCAGACCCATTTTTGCCACCTTTTTTTGTAGCGGTCATAAAGGGAACTCCATGTTCATAAAACAAACCCATTGTTCCCTATAGATCTTTTTGTTGAAAACCTGAAATAAATGCCTGTTTTCAGCAAAACCACCAGGAATAAATGCCTGTTTTCAACAAAAACGTTGTAAAATGTGGTCATGTGACCATGGGACACCCCAAACTCTTATAAATGCAAGCTGGTGGCCAAACTCCAGATGTGCAGTCTCACCCACCCACACTAATCATAATGCCCACCAGGAAACTTTTATGGGGTAGCAAGTAAATTGTGGGTGGAGGGTGTGGTCAAGGCTGTGTCCTGATTGGTGCAGGGAGGAGGGGAGTGGCCAACATTGTATAGATGCTTAGTTGCCATGAGCTCCGGAGTAGTGTCCTACTAGAGTATTGATTCTTGGGGTTCGCTAGACAAGTTTTAAGAGAGAATTCAACATTAGGTTAGGCCAGGAATGTCCAACCTTAGCAACACGAACATTTGTGGATCTCCACAAGCCTTAAAGTTGCTAAGGTTGGACACCTCTAACTTAGGCAGTGACTTTTAGGCATGGATTTTGGAATGGCAGATATTTTTGAGTTTGAAACCTCCTGATAGAAACAGCAACTGAATTTGGGAGCCACCTGCTATTTCCCTGTTGCAGAAAACCACAAATAGCAGTCTACGATGCATACTTATGAATCCTTTCATGAAGTGAAAATACAATAACCCTAAAATCTACGAATGTAAGAGTCAGAAAGGGAGGGATGGTACGAAAAAGATGGGACACTGGGAGAAGAAGGCTGCCTGGGACAAGTTTTGGTCTCTCTGCCTTCTTGCCAAAGATGTGAACTGTATCTGTGGCCTTCAGCAACCTTGGCTCCAGATCAGCTTAAAGACACTCTTTAGATAGTCCAAGATTTGTGACCACAACTGAGCTCAGAATTTCTGATGCTAAGCAAGGCAGTTAAGACAGTGCCTCATTTTACAACCTTTTTTTGCCACTGTTGTTAAACGAAGCTGCAGTTGTTAAGTGAATCTGGCTTTCCCCATTGACTTTGCTTGTCAGAAGCCAGTTGGGAAGGTTCTAAATGGGTGATCACAGGACGCCAGGATAATATGACCGCAATAAATTCCCCCCAGTTGCCAACCATCCAAATGCTGATCATGGTTTGAAGTGTGAAAAAATGGCCGGAAGTCATTTTTTTCACTGCTGTGATAACTTTTGAGCAGTCACTAAACAAATGGTTATAAGTCGAGAACTTATAGCAGTATTCTAATATTTGAGGGGCTGCCGCAAAGAGAAGGGAGTCAATCTATTTTCCAAAGAACCTGAAGGCAGAACAAGAAGCAATGGATGGAAACGAATCAAGGAGAGAAACAACCTGAAATTAAGAAGAAACTTCTTAATAGTGAGAAGAATTAATCAGTGGAACCGCTTCCTTCAGAAGTTGTGGGAGCTCCATCACTGGGGGTCTTTAAGAAGAGGCTGGACAGGCATTTGTCCAGAATGGTATAGGGGTCTCTTCCTTGAGCCGAGGGTTGGAGTAGATGGCCTCCAAGTCCCTTTCGACTCTGTTTTTCTGCCATTCTGCCTGCTTGTAATGATCATCGTTCATCTTATGCAAGGACATTCCTCCCACTTAGTGGGCATAGCTGTGATTGGATGGAGGACTCAAGCCATGACTGTCTTGCGATGGACACCGTAGCATTTTGCCACCTGCAGGTTTATGGAAGAACAGGCTAATTGGAAGAATGGCAGGTCCCCTGCGCCACTTTCCTCCCCTTCCTCGGAGACTTTCCCCGGCGTCAGCAGGGCAGGGGTGCCAATAAAGCTGCAACCTTGACACAGGTGTGGGAGGAGAATGGAGGAGGCGCCTGTTTTGGAGGCTCTGCAGACAAAGGAGCTGAAGAAAAACAGGCCTTTGTCTCTCAAAGGGAATGGGGGGTGCAGAAGAGAAAGAAGCACGGAGAAAGGCAAGGGGACTCCACATGCTGGCCTTTCAGAGAAGAGAAAGGAAGGAGAAGAAATCCTAGAGGGAGAAGCACGAAGGCAGAATGAGGTTTTCCTGGGTGTCCAGTTGGCACTCTCAGACTGATGGCTATCCAGCTTCCTCTTGAACAGTCCAAGGAACATCCCTGACTCTACTTCCAAAGTGTTCTTATTTGTTGGAAAAGGTATAAGATCTCCTGCCTGAGCAAGGCATCGGATCCCTTCCAACTTTTATTCTTTTATTCTGCAGTATCTGCTATCATGCTTGGAGTCTGCCTTTGGAATCACAGAATCATTGGCTGTGGAAGGAATCTCCAAAGAGGCCAAATTGTCATTAGGAAAGAGCTGAGCATTTTGGGGAGTCATAGACATAGAATCATAGGCCTGGAAGGGACTTTGGAGCTCTAGTCCAACCTTGGCAACTTTAAGACTTGTGGACTTCAACTCCCAGAATTGGGGGTCTTAAAGCTGCCAAGGTTGGAGACCCCTGTTTTAGTCTAACCCTGTGCTCCTGGCAGGTGACCTTACACCAAGGGTGCCACACTCATGGCCCCCGGCCTGGATGTGTCATGTGCTGCCCCCACCCCTGCTTGGTTAGCAAAGGGGGGGGGAAGTCCCAATACGTCACATGACACCATGATGACACAAGTTTGACACCCCTGCCTTATACCATCCTGGACAAATGGTTGTCCAGTCTCTTCTTGAAAATCTCCAGTTTGTGTCCACCCTCAACCTCTGGAGACAAGTCATTCCACTAATGAATTGTTCTGTCAAGAAATTTATCTTTAGTTCCAGGTTGGTTCTCTCTTAAATTTCATCTGTTACTTCTTCTCCAGCCTTTGGGGTCTTTGGGCAATAGGTTGACACTCCCCCTTCTTTGTGGCAGCCTCTCAAATATTGGAACACTTCTATCATAACACCCCTAGTGATATGACAGCATATCAAATCAATCCCCTCTTCTTTGTGATAGCCTCTCAAGTTCTCGAAGACAGCGACCATGTCCCCTAGTCCTCCTCTTTGTTAGAGTAGACATACCTGGTTCTGGCAACTGTTCATCCTAAGTTTTATCCTCTATTTCCCTAGTTATCATGTTCTTTCCTGCATTGTTTTTAGGGCCTCCACAATTTTTCTATATCATGACCAAAACTAGATGCAGTTCTCCAAGTGTGGCCACACCAGTGCAGTGTAAAGCAGTAGTAACGCTTCACATGATCTTAAAACCTAAATCCCCCTGGTGATGCAACCTAGGGCTGCCTTGGCTGTGGGATCCACAGTCAAATTTCTATCTTACGGTACCTGTATTGACTGCTGTTTCCCCCCCGCCTCTCTTTTTAGGTCTGCTGTGCAGCTCGATGGGCAAAGGGGATATAAACAGAAGCATCTGTTCACTGGAAATAAAATCGGAAGTGGGGTCAGTGGCTGTGCCCCAACAAAGCAACGCACCCTTTCTAACCCTCCGCTTATTCCATCAAAGGAATCGAAAGGTTCGTTGGCTCCTGCAAAATTCCACATCATAAGTGCAACGGGGGCACATGTTCCTTCTGCTGAAGTTGTATACCTATAAAGCTTAAAGAAAACGATATTCAAGAGTTGCCTCTGAATTTGAAATACTTCCAAAACAGGTGATTAAGGCGTTTATACTTTCTCTTTAAGGTTATAAAATAACATGCTGCAGTTTCATCATCAGACAATGGATCTTAATTTAACTGCCAAATTATGTTTCGTAAGAGTGTTGACTATTAGTATTTTAAGATAATTTAAATATTTTAATATTTTCACTTAAACTAGAGAGGTTGTGGTATTATACTCTTGCCTTTATATGAAAAAAGTTTTATACAACTTTTATATTTATTTGATTTTTTTTGTTACTTTTTAATCTGTCCTGTTATTTCTATCCTCTCTTAGTTTGTATTTTAATATTTATGAAATAAAGATATTTGTAAAAAAAAAAAAAAGGATGGAACTCATTTTAAATCAATTAACGTGAGCGTGGCATGAGTATGTCGATTGAAGGATGTGCAATCTAGCACATACATCCTTTAACCCAACATCAGATCTGGCCAAAGACTGGGCTACTCCGGCAGGCACCCGGATTTCAACGGGAGCAATTTATTACAAAGCAGAAGCTTTGGGGAGCTGCAGCGGAAAATCTAGAAGGAATCAGCACGGTGGGATTTTCCACTTTCCCTCCTGAGTCAGAAAGAGGCCTTGGAAAGCTTTTCTTCTCCTTTCCTTTTTTCTCTTTCCCTCCCTCCCTATTTCTAGTTCTATTTCTTTCTCTCCCTCTTGTTAAAAACAAACAAACCAATAAAGTGGTATTAACACTTCACGTGATCTTGATTCTATCCTTCTGTTAATGCAGCCTAGAACTGTGTTGGGTTTTTTGGCAGCTGCAGCACTTTGCTGGCTCATAGTTAAGTGGTTGTCCACTAGGACTCCGAGATCCCTCTCATAGTTACTACTACTGAGTGAGGTACCACATATACTGTACCTGGTCATATTGTTTTTCTTGCCTAAATGTAGAACCTTCCTTTTTTCATCAACGAATTTCATTTTGTTAGATAGCGCCCAGTGTTCAAATCTGTCAAGATCCTCCTGTAACTTAAGCCTATCTTCCCGAGTGTTGGCTATTCCTGCTAGCTTGGTGCCGTCTGCAAATTTGATGAGTTCCCCATCTATCCCCTCATCCAAATCATTCATAAAGATGTTGAAGAGTCCTGGGCCTAAATCAGAGCCTTGGGGTACCCCTCTGCATTCTTCCCTCCATGTAGATGCAGTTCCATTGAGGACCACACATTGCAGAGAATCGCTTCCATTGCCCTCTGTCCAGATCAATGTTTCTCAACCTTGGCAATTTTAAGATGTGCGGACTTCAACTCCCAAAGTTCACATCACTATTGATGTGATGGAAAGCTAAACTTTCCCTTTTCTCTTAGGCATTTCACTTTCAATCTTTGTTAGAGTTTAGATTCGGAAGTGTTATATGTCTGTTTTGGACTGAACAGGTGATTTCTTGTTAATTGTATTCTCTTTGAAGCTAACACGACCCTATTGGTTCTGCTGCTATCTATCTCACCCATTGGGCAAAATAATGAAGCACCCGCCTGTTTCTTAATGAGTCGGAGGCTGCACAAGACTTGGGAACTAGGAGCAGAGATGCCGGACCAAAGAGCTTCTGACCAAAGAGCTTCTGGGCAGCCCGAAGCGCCAAGCCAGCATCTGTTGTCCAGCTTTGAAGTTGGATGGGGTTGATCTTTTTTGACATGGGAGGGGGGAAGAGGCTTGGGGGGAGGCATAATTTCCTGTCCTTGTTGAATGCTGAGAAGCTCCCAGCTCTTCATTTCCCAAACCAAAACACGAGGCCCCACCTACACCAAGAGGCCAATGGAGGAAAGGTGCTGTCTCCATTCCTTCCCAGGACCGACACAAGATCTTGCAAGAGAATGGAGACTCCTCCTCGCCTCCTCAGACTCAGGCGGCATGTGGAATCTTGCAAGCATGTTGCAAACATGCTCCCACCCAGGGCTCTCCCCCTCGCTCCGTGGGGCCTTGGGACAAGCACCAAGTGGTGGGTGGTTCCCTGCCAACTCTTGGCCCCTTTCCCTTGGCAACCAGCCCCATTTCTAATCCAAAGAAGCCAATTTCCCCCTCCCGTTCCCATCTCCTCCTCTTGAAAGGTACCCGGGGGACTCTATTAGACTACTTGAGAGAAAGTGGTTTGAAGACTGCCGCCTAAAGCCACCATATCATTATGATGTCTATACATTACAAAATTTCTCAGCTCTCCTGGGAAAGCTGGTAAAAAGGTTAATGATGTAATTACTCTTATTATCATAAGCATAATGAATGGAATTGCCTCATTTCCTTAAATGCTGCCAAGCTATTTGCTCCTTGCTGGACGCCTCCCCAAAGGAGAGCATCTCCGCTAATCCTCCTGGCAAATTTGTTCCTTTCTTTCATGTGAAAAGCTGTGAAAGACTGCAAGACAAGCTGGAAGCCCCAGGTTCAGTTCTCTGCTGCAGAGTTCCAGTGTAGGGGGGTGAGTATGTGCAAATTCCCAGGATTGCAAAATGTAACTAGCAAGGCTTCCTCTGGCCCAGCATTTCTCAACCGTGGCAACTTTAAGACGGCTGAACTTCAGTTTCCCAGTCAGCGTGGGAAATTCAGTATGGCTGGGAGTTGAAGTTCACTCCTCTTAAAGTTGCTAAGGTTGAGAAGCTCATTTGCCAACCCTTCTTTAACCCAACAGCTGGATTCTACATAGCAAGAAGCCACATTGTGTTCTAATTTCTGCTCCTAGGGATCATGACTGCCATATATGGGGCAATGTTCTATGTGAATCTTTGGGGTTTGTTTCACAGAACATAGTTAAAATAGCAATAGCACTTAGACTTATAAGGCCCCTCTCTAAGCAGTTTACAGAGTCAGCCTATTGCCCCAACAATCTGTGTCCTCATTTTACTGACCTCAGAAGGATGGAAGGCTGAGTCAACCTTGAGCCAGTGAGAATCGAACCGGCAAACGGCTGGCAGCCGGCAGTCAGCAGAAGTAGCCTGCAGTACTGCATTTTAACCCCTGTGTCACCACAGCTCAGAGTTTAGTGTTGGCAAAGCCAACCACTTGAACACAGGTAGTTCTCAACTTGCAATCATTTGTTTAGTAACCATTCAAGATTTCAAAACCCCTGAAAAAAGTGACTTATGACAGTTTTTCACACGACCATCGCATATCCCTACTGTCACGTGACAAAAATTTGGATGCTTATGACAGTTGCAGTGTCTGGGGTCAGCTGGTCCCCTTTTGCAACCTTTTGACAAGCGAAGTCAATGGGGATACTAGATTCACCTAACAATATTACTAACTTAACAACTGCAGTGGTTCACTTAACTGTAGCAGGAAGGGTCGTTAGTGGGGCAAAATTCATTTCACTTGCTTAGCAACAGAAATTTTGGGTTCAATTGTGGCTGTAACTCACGTACAAAGATACAGGGTTCTTTATATTTTTTCATTAAGATTAAAGACTGTTAACTATGCAAGCATATAATAAATGAAATGTATTTAAAACAACCAAAGCTATTGGATTCTGAATCCAATTTTCCTTCATTCCTCAGTTCAACTTAACTAATGACAGCTGACCACTTTAATTCTTGGGGAAAAAACATAAATGCCCTTGACCCATGCTGCATGTGTTCTCATAGGCTGGGATGAATGTCTAGATGGGACCATGAGGAGGCAGGCGTTCTGGGCCAGGTACAAGCGTGTTTTCATCTGCTGAGAGCTGCACTTCTCTGGATGTATTTTGGGACTGTTGAAGAACATGCTCAGCTGGTCAGAGATTACATCATGGGGTGCCATGGTATAAGGGTGGTAGTTGATAGCAAAATAAGGAATAATTTTCCCCAGTCTTTGTCAGACATGTTACGTCTATCTGTTGGGTTATAGAGGTCCAAATTCTAAGCATGACAGCAAATCTTTTTTACAGTGTGCAATTTAAAATAAATGTTAGAGGTTTTTTTAATCAAAGGGGTAAACCCATTTGTGGCCTTTCATTTGCTGCAATTCTTTCTTTTCTCTTTCTTTTCTATTTTTTTTTTAAATCTTGCTGCTTTCACAATTATACATCTTGTGTTATAAGACAAAAGAAAATATTCTATTAAGTATTTGTCAGATACTTACTTACATACTCTTCCCAGAATATATGCAGATAGTAGAACCCTCAATCTGGCAAGATTTTATCTATAGACACAAAATAATAAAGAACTCAGCTTGGAAGAATCACCTCTGAATCATCATCATTCTTGGCTTTGGGCCTGACATTAGATCACTTGGAACCTGCAGCCGGCTATGCCTTGATTTGTCCATGGAACACAACTGCTTTGAGAGCTGCAATGCTTACCTGTTCACCTCTGGGAAAAATTCAAGGTGTTGGTTGTCACCTTTGATGTGGGCTTGTGCTATTAGATTGCAGAAGGAACTTCATCCAGGGTCTCTCTTTTAAAGAATGTTGGTGACAATGTGTTAAAGCAGCCTTTTTAAAAATATATATAGCACTGTCACCATTCTCTGAAATAGCCTCAATATTTGACTTACCCCAACCTTATTGGGATTTAAGAAGGCAAACAAAACCTGGCTAGGACTTGAAAGGGAATTGATTTAGAACATAGAAGATAGAATAACACAGTTGGAAGGGATCTTTGAGGTCATCTAGTGACTAGACCAACCCCCTACTCAAGCAGGAGACCCTAAGCCTAGACCATTTCAGACAAGTGGCTGTCCAGTCTCTTCTTGAAATTCTCCAGTGATGGAGCACCTTCAACTTCTGAAGGCAAGCTGTACCACTGGTTAATTCTTCCCATCTCCTCACAAACAGCAACAACATAAGCAAAACTGTATTTATGCACTGGTGAGTTCAAGGGTGAATTGTGCAGTTGGAAGATGCTTTAGAAGTCATTCAGTCTAAGCAGGCTGGTCTAAGATTCACTGAAATATTTAGCAAATGTCTTTAATTAAAGTTATTTATACGGCCACCAATCTTGCAAACATGACTTCTGAGGGCTAACCAACTTAAAACCATACAAATAAGAGCAAAATCAAAAGCAATATAATGCGGCATCAGAAAAGACCAACAACCTGAAATCAACTAACCACTTTACCCCAAAGTTTTGCAAAGCAGCCAAGTCTTAAGACCAGCAACCTCTGCTCAAAGACCACCAGCAAAATAGATTTCACCACTTTGTATGGAAGGGGCTCCCATTGTCTTCCAGCTTGAACCATCAGGAAGTTCTGCCTGATGTCTATTCTTGAAATAAAGGCACGGATATAGCAAGGTGTCTAGCCTGAAATTGTTGTAAGTGTAGCCATTTTAGTTTGTCTTAGTATATATTCTTTTTCTTATTTTCCCTGTGGAACTTTATGGTCAGCTGTACATGTCAAAGGGAATGAAAGTCAAAAAAAGTGTGATCCCAGGAAATAAATACACTGCTCAAAAAAATAAAGGGAACACAAAAATAAGACATCCTAGATCTGAATGAATGAAATTTTCTTATTAAATACTTTGTTCATTACATAGTTGAATGTGCTGACAACAAAATCACACAAAAATTATCAATGGAAATCAAATTGAGCAACCCATGGAGGTCTGGATTTGGAGCTACACTCAAAATTAAAGTGGAAAAAAACACTACAGGCTGATCCAACTTTGATGTAATGTCCTTAAAACAAGTCAAACTGAGGCTCAGTAGTGTGTGGCCTCCACGTGCCTGTATGACCTCTCTACAACCCCTGGGCATGCTCCTGATGAGGTGGCGGATGGTCTCCTGAGGGATCTCCTCCCACACCTGGACTAAAGCATCCCCCAACTCCTAGACAGTCTGTGGTGCGTTGGTGGATGGAGCGAGACATGATGTCCCAGATGTGCTCAATTGGATTCAGGTCTGGGGAACGGGCAGGCCAGTCCATAGCATCAATGCCTTTGTGTTGCAGGAACTGCTGACACACTCCAGCCACATGAGGTCTAGCATTGTCGTGCATTAGGAGGAACCCAGGGCCAACCGCACGAGCATATGGTCTCACAAGGGGTCTGAGGATCTCATCTCGGTACCTAATGGCAGTCAGGCTACCTCTGGCGAGCACATGGAGGGCTGTGCGGTCCCCTAAAGAAATGCCACCCCACACTATTACTGACCCATTGCCAAACCTGTCATGCTGGAGGATGTTGCAGGCAGAATGTTCTCCACAGCGTCTCCAGACCCTATCACATCTGTCGCATGTGCTCAGTGTGAACATGCTTTCATCTGTGAAGAGCACAGGGCGCCAGTGGTGAATTTGCCAATCTTGGTGTTCTCTGGCAAATGCCAAACGTCCTGCATGGTGTTGGGCTGTAAGCACAACCCCCACCTGTGGACATCAGGCCCTTATACCACCCTCATGGAGTCTGTTTCTGACCATTTGAGCAGCCACATGCACATTTGTGGCCCGCTGGAGGTCATTTTGCAGGGCTCTGGCAGTGCTCCTCCTGTCCCTCCTTGCACAAAGGCGGAGGTAGCGGTCCTGATGCTGGGTTGTTGCCCTCCTCCATGTCTCCTGATGTACTGGCCTGTCTCCTGGTAGCGCCTCCATGTTCTGGACACTACGCTGACAGACACAGCAAACCTTCTTGCCACAGCTCGCATTGATGTGCCATCCTGGATGAGCTGCACTACCTGAGCCACTTGTGTGGGTTGTAGACTCCGTCTCATGCTACCACGAGAGTTAAAGCACCGCCGGTATTCAAAAGTGACCAAACCATCCGCCAGAAAGCATAGAAACTGAGAAGTGGTCTGTGGTCACCACCTGCAGAACCACTCCTTTCTTGGGGATGTCTTGCTAACTGCCTCTGCTTTCCACCTGTTGTCTATTCCATTTGCACAACACCATGTGAAATTGATTGTCAATCAGTGTTGCTACCTAAGTGGACGGTTTGATTTCACAGAAGTGTGATTGACTTGGAGTTACATTGTGTTGTTTAAGTGTTCCCTTTATTTTTTTGAGCAGTGTAATAATCCCAGGATGGATTGTATCTCTGGATTACATACCACTCAGGCTGATATTTTTTGTGGCAAAATTCCTGACTTAAGATACTTTTTGTGTGATGCACTATGCACAGGTCTTCACTGCTGCTATTACGTTATCAAACAGGGTGAAATATCAGGGATTAATATATACTGAGTTTTAAACCCCTGTATGGATTGGAAGGTATCAATGCCCATTGGTGCAGCCTGGGACTGTATTTATTTCCTAGGATCACACTTTTGACAGACATTCCCTTTGACATGTACAGCTGACCATAAGGTTCCATGCTATATCCATGGCTTGAATATTATTTTCTATACAAATGCAGGATTTTGCATTTGCTCCTGTTGGAATTCATCCTGCTGGTTTCCATTAACTGTTCCAGCATCCCAAGATCCCCTGAATCTTAAACTTATTTTCTATTTGTCTCTATTTTGTGGTGGTTATTGACCAAATAAAGATTACTTGTAGCTTAAACTGGATACTGTTTTCTAATGAACCAAAGATGACTTCAAAGGAAAATATCTGGTTCAGCTGCAAACCAGGTAAATCATATTTCCTAACTCCACATCCAAGCCATTTATTAACATATTAAATTGCAGACCTACAGTAGATCCCTGTGGCATGCTGCTTGACACTTGCTTCCAGCCTGATGCAGAGCCATTGATGTTAGAATAATTTATTAAATTTATATGCTGTCTCTCAGCGACTTTATAAATGGTTTACCGACAGTTAAAAACATTTAATCAAGAAAACGTTTTTCAAAAGTGCTGTGAGTCATTGTCTACTTCCCGGGACTGAGGGAGTGAATGGGCCAAGATTGCCCAGCTGGCTTTGTGCTTGAGGGAAGGCTAGAACTCACCGTCTCCCAATTTCTAGCCTGGTGCCTTTCCCATTGCGCCCAATGGGCTCTCCGCATCGGCTGCCCAAGCCCTCCAGCAACCTTTTGCGACAGCAAATGAGAGCCAGCTTAAGCCTTAAGGCAGGGGTCTCCAACCTTGGTGACTTGTGGACTTGGTGACTTGTGGACTTCAGCTCCCAGAATTCCTTAGACAGCAAAGTTGGCTGAGGAATTCTGGGAGTTGAAGTCCACAAGTCTTAAAGTCGCCAAGGTTGGAGACCCCTGCCTTAAGGCATCACCAGGCAAGAGACTGGGTGGCTGCGAGTTCTAGTCCTCCCTCAGGCATAGCTGGGAAACCTTGGGCCAGTCACTCACTCTCCGCCCTAGAAAGGAGGCAATGGCAAAGCACTCCTGAAAAACCTCGCCCAGAAAACTGCAGAGCCTGAACGGGAGGAAAACATGCCAGGCAAGGGGAAAAGGCGTAGGGAGAACGGCCCTTTGGGCATCCTCCGCCATCGGGCATTTCTCCTCAGAGGAGGGTGGACTTCAACTCCCAGAATTCCCCAGCCAGCAGGGTGAGAAACACGGCCTGGCTTTGTTTGGACACAGGAAGGACGATTCCAGAGGGACTCTACTGTCCGGAAAGCGAGAGATATCGGAAGCCCGGGACTCCCTGCGTTGGGCAGCCCAATCAGCGTCCTGTTCGCGGACTCAACTCGGCTTCCGCACGGTCCCTTCGGGCAGGACTGGAAAGACGCACACAAGCGCAGCACAGGGCAGCACAGGGCGCACGCGCAACTCGGTAGGCGGGGCCTCCTCGCTCGTCCCTTTCCCCGCCAGGCGCCGCTGTCTTTCCCGACGCGCTGCGCCGAGGCACGTGAGCCTGTTTGGGCCACGTGACGCGCCGCCGGCGTGCGTGAGTGCGTGCGTCCGTGCCTGAGCGGGCGACGCGCCTCCGCCCCGCCCCACGCCCGCCGAGCCCCGCCCCCTCCGCGCGAGAACGAGCGAGCGAGCGAGCGGCCTCCCCTCAGGAGCTCGTCCGGCCCGCTCCCTCCGCCGCCGCCGCCGCCGCGCCCTCCTGCTCGGTTATGAGGCGCGCCCGCCGGCACTGGAGCGCAGCTGGGTCTGTGCGGCGCGGCCGCCGCTGAGGCTTCGCCGCCTCCGCTTGGGCGGGGACCGCCTTCCCAGCCCTCGCCGCTGCCGTCGCCGCCGCTGTCGCCGCCAGGATGGGCCGGGAGCCGCAGCCGGGCCGCCGCTGAGCGCCAGACGCGGAGGGAGCCGAGAGCGGCAGCGGGAGGAGGACGACGAGGACGAGGAGGAGGAGGAGGAGAAGGGCCGGCGCCATGGCGGAGCAGACCTACTCCTGGTGAGCTTTGCCGCCGCCGCCGCCGCCTCCCCGGGAGCCCCGCTGGCCGAGCCCCGGCTCCGACCCTTCCCTTCACGGGCCGCCCGAAGCTCCCGAGGCGCCGCGCTCCGGTTGGTGGTGGGGGCAGCCCGGGTACCTCCGGCCTGGGAGCTTTTGTCCCCCTGAGGAAAAAAGGGGCCGAGCGACCCCCCCCTCCTCCTCCCCCCGGCGCTCCGGTGGGCCTGGAGCGCACCTGGAGGCGCCCACCTGGAGGCGCCCACCTGGCTGAGGGCAGCGGGAGAGTCTCGGTCATCAGCGCTTCCCTCTCCCCCCCCCCCCAAAAAAAAATTGGGGCTCGGGGCCTGTTGTTGGCCTAAAAAAGTGGCCGATTCGGGGGCGCTCAGTCGGGGGGGGTGGGTGGAAGATGGAGGAGGCCGCGCGCCTCTGTGTGCGTGAGTGTGTGTGTGTGTATAGTGTGTGTGTGTGTGTGTGTGGTGTGTGTGCGCGCGTGCCGTGTTGCCAGACAGGCTTGGGAACCCCGCTGGGCGGGCATCTGATACAAGCCCGGGATGCTGCAACCGTCTCCTCCCTCCTCTCTCCGGGCTTGGAGCAAGCAGAGCATCCCACCACCTGCGCGCACATCGCACCGGGCTTCTGCCGCCCGCCGCCTCTTCGTGCCTCCACCCGTTTGCTCTCGGGGAAACGGCTCGGCGCGCCTTTTTGGGCCGTCTCCGAGGTGCTTCCCTGCCCTTCTGCCAGGAACAGGTTTGTTTGTGTGGGGAACAAAAACCCGGAGCGGTAGAGGAAGGCCGTTTTCCGAGGGGAAAGGGATTAAGGACGCGGGGGGGGGTGGGAATTGCCTTGAGTGGCTTTCTTATTGTCATGCCGATGGGGGCTCCTCGCCAGTTGTCTAGTTGTGGGGCAACCTTGCTTTGCTTGTGTGATGAGTGGGGGGGGAAAGGGGGGGGGCTGCAGCTGTGCACGAGTCTCACAATCTCCCTGAAATCTGCAATTATGAGGAGAGGCAGCGCTGCCCTTTCTGTTAATGCCTCTTTATGATGAACTCTTACAGAGGCATGATTCATACTACAGTTCACACTAATGTAGCTTGATTTCATTATTTATTTACTAATCTGACATTATGACATGACAGCCCAGCAAAGTGGTTTACAATGTTTAGAATATTCCTGTTAAAAGAATATTAATATTAATATTATTAATATTTTATTAACATTATTAATAACTATTACAATTTGGATAAATGGTACAGCTGTTAAAACAGTAGGTATATATTTTGATTATTGGATGCTGCAAACCCATGCACTGTACTTGGTAAACGATGGTGTATTGTTTAGTGTAATGTGTGAAAACAGCTAAGAACTAATTGTAAGTGGATGGACATAATATTACACCATGCTTTTAATTATGGTTGGGAATTTAGTATTCATACATGAGATTCTCACATAAAACAGTAAATGGAAAGGCTTGGATGGCTATTGTGTCAAGGAATGCTCTTTCATATTCCTTTGGTGGTTTTTTGTAAGGTTAGCATCAGTTAGTTGGTTAGAGCCATTTTGGTTACTGGTTAAGGTACTAATGCTAGAAACCTGGAGATTGGGAGTTGTCCAGCCTTAGGCATGGAAGCCAACTGGGTGACTTGCTTTCTTAGACCAATTCACCTCACAAAGGATGTTGTGAGGAAAATAGGTGGAGGAAAGATTGTTAGGTATGTTTGCTGCCTTGAGTTATTTATAAAAAAATAAAAGCGGGATAAAAATAAATTAAGCTGATGTCACATGGCTGAAAATTAGTGGAATGTAGGCTTAATTCCAAAGCTTGGATGCTTGTGAGGCAGTGATACCATTGACCTGAGTATAAGTGTTAGAGTGAATTGAGGTAACTAAATACTTAGAAGAATATTGACTTGAAATGTTACGTTTTGGCCATTACATGCCAGTTAAAATGACCTAAAGCTAACATCCTAATTGAGATTTCAGTCCTCCTGACTCCCATAATAATTAATGACATTTGTTCTTAAAGAAAGAATATTTGTAGCTCAGGGTTGAAATTAGGGGTCTTTGGGGCTGTCTGAACTTAATTATTTTCTTGCAGACATTTCATTACCAACTAGCTAACAGCATCAGAAGATGCAAGGAAACATCCAAGCTCAGGGAGAACTAAGATTCCCTCATTTGTTATTCTATTCAGTTATGTCTGATTCTTGGAGTATGCTTGGACAAGTCCTTCCTAGGGTTGAGAGAAAGTGTCCAAGGTCACCCAGGTGACTTTGTGCCCAAGGCAGGACTAGGAATTATGGACTCCTGGTTTCCTCCCTAATGCTTTCACCACTAACCCACATTGGCTCTCAATAATTTTTTTAAAAAATCTTGAGTCACAACAATATCCACTTGGAAGTTCTATCAAATAGAATTATTCTATCAAAAATATTTGACATCTTTTTCTGAAAACTAGAAAATCATTAACTGGTTTTAAAAGGATGTAGGGAGGAGGCAGGATTGACTGGCCTATAATATTCTTTCTAAGTAAATGATAAAAAAAAACATTATTGTAGGGGCAGTAATTAAATATACATACAGGAGAACAAGCTTGCTCTAAGAACCAACATGGCCTCTACAAAGAGGTCAGCAATCCTGTAGATGTTCAAAATGGACACAATATTTGGACAGTTACTTTTAATTTATTTGGACTTAGAATTAAGTAGAGAATTGGTCAGTTTGCCAGTGATATCAGTTGTAACATCAAAATAAGACTGGGAACTTCGAAAGAATCTCTTCGGAGTGGATGAATAATGGAAGATGTGGTTTGCAATTGCAAAAAGTATCCGGCACATTTTTTTCTCAAAAAATTCACTTGTGTACAATGATGGAATCCGAGTTGGTGATGAGTGACAAGGAAGAGCTACATAGTGGATAACTCAAGGTAATTATTAGCCAGAGTATTATATGGGTACAGTGAAAAAGTTAAGTTCCAACCAATACATTCTTAAAGGAACCAAATATTAACTAGCCACTATAATAGGATTGGACCGCACTTGGAAAGTTATGTGCAGTCCTGGTCGCCATGATACCTCAAAAATGGGATATTGTATCATAGGGAAAGAGACAACCAAGGCACCCAAAATAATTAAAAGGCTGGAACACCTTCCCAGTGAAGAAAGACAGTGCCCTAGGTATGAACATAAGATGTGATAAAGGTAAAATTGTGAATATCATGGAAGATGCGAGCATACATTTTTCCCTTGCAATATTAAAGCATAGATTTATCTATTAAAATTAAATATAGGGAAATTCAACAATATTTATTTGTTTACATAATCCATAGTTAAAAGTATAGAAGCTCTTGTATTCTGATGTGATAGCTTGTGGCTGGTTTGGGGGGTTGGATCCAGTCATAGAGAATCAGTTATTCATGATATTATTTTATATTCTGTTTCCAAAAATTATGGCCAGCTGATCTTAAATACCAGATTTACGACTATGTGATCCACAATGCTAAATTAGATGAATTTGACATGATCTAGTAATCTCTTTAATTTTTGTGTCAGTGTGCTTAGGACTGCAGTCTGAATTTTATAGTGATGTAATTGATCCAAGAGGTGAGAATCCCCAAGTTATAGTGTAGGACTAATCTAGTATTTTGGATAGAGAAAATGTGGTTCAAATTGGTTTTTTTTAATAGAAATTGCATTTGAATGCTGTGCACATATATTGCAGTGTTCAGGTTCAGATTTTGAGTTTCTCTCATTTCCTTGTACAATCTTGTTACTTTTGTTTGTTTTTTACTGTATCCATGTTAGAAAAACGCTTGCTTCCAAAACAGAAAATGGGAACTTCGTTATTTTGATTCTAGATTGCTGAAAATCTGTAATGTATAGAAATAATCTATACAATATTTGTGTTTGCTAAATGTGGACATTTAATTGTTGAAACATTGCATCTTTCTGCATTGTTTTACAATTGCGGCAAAATTATTATGTGACTAAAAATGATCACAGAAGCAGATTCTGAAGCAGCTGAATGTCATCAACTTTCAGTATTAAGCTGCAATACAGGCAGTCCTTGACTTATGATCAAATTTGAGCCCAAAATTTCTGTTGCTAAGCAAGACAGTTGTTAAGTGAATTTTGCCCCATTTTACAACCTTCCTTGCCACAGTTGTTTCGTGAATACTACTGTTAAGTTAGTAGCACAGTTGTAAAGTGAGTCTGGCTTTCCCATTGACTTCCAACTGTCATTAATGAGTCAGTTGTCAAACGTTTGAATTTTGATCACATGACCATGGGGATGTTTCAACGGTCATAAGTGAAAAAATGGTCGTCACTTTTTTGAGTGTTGTAACCTATAACAGTCACTAAATGAACTGTTATAAGTCGAGGACTACCTGTACTTTAGATGAAACATTTACTTACAATCGGGATTCTGGGCAAATTATTAACAGAGTACAGATATGAAAGAATACAAAATATTTTATAAAAACTAAAACCTGTTCTGACTAGGGCTTCCTGAGATAGTAACAATCCCACGTTGTTCCCAAAAACTTTGTTTTTATTTAAATGGCTGTAAATTATATGCATTCACAGCCCATAATGAGTCCCACACAGTTTAGGACTAGTCCAACCGAAGTCTTTTGGGATAAGGGAGCTAAGCACCCACCTTTATCTCCTTTGAAATGCTGCCAACGACTATATTGCCAATTAGCTGTACAAGGCCAAACGGAGCAGAAAGTCAAGATGGAGCTTCAGAATTTAAACCGACCAGAACGAACAAAGTTGCTTCCTGCAAAGGGTCCTGTCCCTTTGTTCCTTGTTTATGTCTTATGGGGGGGGGGCAATCACCTCCAAGCCTTACTCCCGAGTTGCCCCTTTTGTCTGAACAATTCTTGCCTTCTGGCAGTTCTGCGCAAGCGCGCACTGGTAACAGGTTCCCCCTGTTCCTCTGCCTGGCTGATGCCAGATTCTGGAGACTCCGAAGTCAGCACATAACTCTCAGATGGCCCTGGCC